TGCGTAGACGATGTGACACCATGATGCTGTTGACAGTTCAGGAACGGTTCGGTCGGCAGCCCATCGAGGCAACGGACACGTGCAGGGCTGAAGACATCACCGTCCCTGAACATCTCGCGTGAGAAATATCACGCGATCAAATGTCTGTTTGCAAAATAGCAACCGGCGAAGCATCTCATAGCCACTCCGCGGCAGCTGGACGCGGCAGATTGGGTCTCTTGATTCTGACGAAGGTGTATGAAGCCTCAGCACTCGGGAATTCGACACCCGGCAGATCCATAGAATGAACACAGAGAGGAGTCATTGATCACCACCACTCAATCTAGGGTTTCCGTTCCGAAGCAGTATAAGAAGGTTCGTAAGGACGGACCATTGCTTCGACAAACCAGAACATACAACTCTTAGTTCACCATAACACTTATCCGATACATAACTCACTCGTTTTTCAACATTCGCTTTATCGTCTTCAAGTTAGCGCTTTGCAATAACACGTGCACGTATTACCTTCGTTAAACATCACGACCTAACCAACACATCCACATGGATTCTTCGACGCCCCAGGGAATGAGAATTCTCGTCTGCCCCTCCGGTTTCAAGGGCAGCCTTCAGCCAGAGGTTGCCGCTGATTGCATCGAGTCTGGCATTCTCTCTGTAGTGCCAGATGCTTCTGTGCGCAAGGTTCCCCTGGTTGACGGAGGCGAGGGGTTCACTAGTGCCCTTGTGTCCGCGACTGGTGGCACATTGCATCCAGTCGTTGTCACCGGCCCCGTTGGCGCTCCGATTGCGTCTTTCTTTGGAATACTGGCAAGCAAAAGCCCTGATGAGCCAAAGACAGCTGTCATCGAAATGGCTGCTGCGGCCGGTTTGAGCCTGGTCCCAACCCATCTTCGCAACCCCGGTGTTACTACCACGTTTGGAGTGGGCGAGCTTCTGGCGGCTGCAGCCGGAGCTGGCGCGAAGAAGATCATTGTCGGCTGCGGCGACTCTGGCACTTGCGACGGGGGCGCGGGAATGCTTCAGGCTCTTGGCGCTCGACTGATAGATCAAGACGGGCTTACGCTCCCTATCGCCGCAGGGGGCGAGAGCCTGCTGCGTTTGGCAAATATCGATCTTGGCGGAATCGACAAGCGTATCGAAGATGTCGACATCGAGGTCGCGGTCAATTGGAACAATGTTCTCAGTGGTCCCGATGGTGTTGCTAGGGTCTTTGGCAAGCAGAAGGGGTCGAGTGCCGAGCAGACGGAACGCCTTTCAGCAGCTATGGAGGTTCTCTCTGTAGTTGCTGGACGGCTTCTCTGCGACAGCAATGTGGGCACGTCGCCCGGCGGAGGAGCATCTGGAGGGTTGGGCACCGGTTTGCGGCTGGTGGGCGCCAAGCTTCGGCCAAGGTATGAGGTGGTGGCGGAGTATGTCGACTTTGAAGGGCTGTTTACGGACTGCGACCTGGTTCTCACAGCCGAAGGAGGCATCGATGACCAGACACCGAGGGGGAAAATTCCGGGTGAGATTGGGACGCGGGCGAAGAAGCATGGCCTACCGGTGGTTGCTATTGCTGGGACCATCGGACCAGGGGCTCGGGTCAACTACGACGTCGGAATCGATGCGTACACGTGTATCCTGCAACGACCAACCACGCTGGACGAGGCCATTGTGGAGGCGGAGAAACTGACGCGGGAGAGTGCCGAGTGCGTTATGCGGATGATTGTCGTGGGACGGATGTTGGGGTCCAAGAAGCCCTCGTCGACGGCGCAGGCGAAGCAGCCTGCAGCGTCGGCATGGGTTTGAGTTCCGAGTCACGGATTGATTGCAGTGAAGATGGTATGAGCCAAGACCGCAGGTAGAAAGCTAGATGTGTTAGTGTAAGCGAGCTGGAAGGGGTTCTGGGGTTCTGGACCAACAGTTGAATGAGAAATGACATTGGCACTAGCATCTTGGTGCCCTTGAGTGAAAAGAAGAAAGCCTTGGCATGAATCAGGAATTGGTTTCTCGAAACGAAGACATGACTGGCAGGAAATCAGGCCAGCCAAGCCGCTTGGTGTGGCGGTGCAAATTTGCGATATGTCTATCGCCGGATCGGACGGTCTTCCCGTTGTAGCACCAGAAGAGCAGAAGAGAGGCAGGTAAGGTAAGTGACGTTGGAAAAAGGTTCGTCCCAAGACCCAAGACGGAAGACGGAAGACGGAAGATGGGAAGGTCTAGACGGCACACGGGACGGTGGGTGGACGGACGATCGCCATCGCCCGCTCGCTTAAAGCCTTAACGCGATGTTGCTTATCGTTATCAGATGAGGTCAAGCCAGAAATAGCAATGAACCCACTCCTCGACCCACAACTTGCCTTAAGCGAGCAAATCGTCACGTGTTTCTGCCGTCAATTGGCAATCTTGGCTTTCTGATTGGCTTCTGCACCGCTGCAGCTTCGTTGAGGGCCAAGTTCAGTGGACGATCCGGGATGCTTCAGCGAATCATCCCCTGAAGAGCATCACCGTCATCGCCGTTGCGCAGCGCGTTCGTCCAGTGTCCTTGTGCTTCGTGTCACTCGGGCGGGTGCCCTTCACTGCCCTGCCCCGCCCCCGCTCTCAGGTACCTACCTTAGTTGGAGGTACCTACCTTAACCTTACCTCAGCTCTGCCGTAGGTAAACAGACTCAGGGGCACATGCCACCTTCACCTTCAACTCGCCTTACCTGATCCATCACCGCCCTTTTTGACTGCATCTCTATTTTTATTCTCGCCTTAGACCACCACCACCATGCCCAAGAACGCGCCGGCTCCCGATGAGCCTGCCGTTACCTTCAGCTCTGGTTCCGACGCACCCGTTGCCTTGCGTATTCTCCACCTCAATGATGTCTATCACTTGGAACCCTCCAGTGCTGAGCCCGTTGGCGGTGTCCCTCGCTTCATCACTGCCGTCAACGAGTACCGCAGTCACGAGCGATTCAATGGCCAGCCCGAGCTAATCACTCTATTTTCGGGAGACGTCTTCAACCCCAGTCTCGAGAGCTCCGTCACAAAAGGTAATCCCTCACGTGCCCCCTGCCTGTCATGATGCTGTGCTGACGCGGACCCTAACAGGTGAGCACATGGTGCCCGTTCTCAACAAGATTGGTGTCGACTGCACCTGTGTTGGTGTAGGTGAGCCCGTTCTACCCCAATTGGCCGTGTCATTTAATTAACGCCACCAGAATCATGACTTCGACTTCGGAGTGAAGCAGTTCGAGCACCTGACCGCCAAGTGCAACTTCCCCTGGCTGCTCGCCAACGTCCTAGACCCAGCTCTCGGCGAAAATGTACCCCTCGGAAATGCCAAGCACACTCACATGCTTACATCCTCCAATGGCATCAAGATTGGTCTCATTGGCCTTGGTGAGAGAGAATGGCTCGAAACAATCAACAGCTTGCCTCCCGACATCATCTACAAATCCGCCAGCGAGACAGCCAAGGAGCTTGTTCCCCAACTCCGCGCCCAGGGTGCCGACATAATCATCTGTCTCAGCCACCAGCGTGAGCCAAACGACAACAAGCTTGCCGAGAAAACGGACGGTCTCATCGACATCATCCTCGGCGGCCACGATCACTACTATGCGCATAGCTTCATCAACGGTACTCATGTTCTGCGATCAGGTTCCGATTTCAAGCAACTCAGCTACGTTGAAGTCCGCAAGAAAGCAGATGGTTCAGGAAAATGGGACTTCGACATTGAACGACGGGACATTGTCTCTTCCATTGCCGAGGACCAGGAGACTTTGAAGCTTACCGAGGAGTTGACATCTAAGCTCAAACACAGCTTGGCGAAGTCAGTTGGTTGGACAGCTTCTCCCCTGGATGCACGCTTCACGACAGTACGGATGAAGGAGAGCAACATGGGCAACTTTGTTTGCGACGTAATGAGACACTACCACAACGCTGACTGCGCTCTCATGGCAGCTGGCACCATCCGAGGTGACCAGATTTACCCGCCCGGCGTAATCAGAGTCAGGGACATTACCAACTGCTTCCCCTTTGAAGATCCCGTCATCTTCATCAGAGTGACCGGCCAGCAAATTTGGGATGCCTTGGAGAATGGCGTCTCGCAGTATCCGGCACAGGAGGGTGAGTCTACTTTCTGGCCTTTTACAGACTAAATATCCTAACAAACCAGGTCGTTTTCCGCAGGTATCCAACATTACGTATACGTTCGACCCCAGCAAGGAACCTGGCTCGCGCATCGTCGAAGCCACCTTGGGTGGAGGCCCGATGGAGATGGACAAGAAGTACACTCTCGCCACTCGTGGTTATATGGGTCGAGGAAAGGGTACGTTCAGGACTTGAAGAACTCTGTGTACTCTGCTAATCATGACAGATGGTTACACCAGTCTTCTTGTCGAGCCGGAAGGCGGCACGGCCGAGGAGATCGTCTGCGAGGAAAACGGCATTCTCATTTCAGCCATGCTTCGCCAGTACTTCATGAGTCTGCGCACTGTTGGCCAGTGGAAGAATCTCAGTGAGCACTGGGTTCAGGTGGCCGAAAAGTGCCACACTCCGGTCGAGCCGCGCAAGATGTGGGAGACACCCGCCGCGACAGGCACCTCAGACCCCAAGCCTGAGGTTCATTCCAAGTCCTGGGCTGAGTGGATGGTCAAGAGGCACGCCCTCAACACCAAGCTCCCTAAGGACGAATCGGATGAGTCTGATACGGAGGACGAGGCGGATACCATCGCGCAGGTCGACATGGAGATGCTTATTATGCGCAAGTTCTTCGCTAAATGGGCGAAGGCGGCAGGCGTGAAGGCCGAAGTGTGCGATCCCTTGCGTGAGGGCGAGTTTACTGTAGACTGGACACGGGTTATCGCACCGGTGTTAGAGGGGCGCATTAAAATGATTAGCTAAAGCCTAAACAGCATAGAAAAGCAATAGACAGCATGCCTACCAGTACACATCCAGCTAACCTAGGACGCATGACCAGTTCAGAACAACTTTGGGAGCAGCTATCTAAGTCTTATAGGTAATGCCCGGCAAAAGGATGGACAATCTGGGAATCGAACTTAGGACCTACCGCATGCGAAGCTGCCGTTATAACCCTACACCAATCGCCCATTCTAATTGAGATATATCTGCCTTCAACTCGAAGATGAATCAAACGATCCTATGGATGTGGAGTAGCTTAGAAATATTGTCTAGGATTTGTGGCGTCGAGTCTGGCCGCTGTGATGGTGGCCGCATGTCTTTCAGCTGCGGGGTCATCAGGGATTTCACACCGAAGCTGAACTCCCCGGATCGTCGCATAAGGCTTACCTGCAGTCATTCCAGGGATTCAAATAACTAGAGAACGAGGGTTGTGTATGATTGTAACGTCACTTGCCGCGGACTTTCGCTGGTGAGCTGAAGGATCTTCAAAGCTAAGGGGCGAAGAGCGGGAGGACATCTAGCCGTATTACTAGCGAGCTGACCTTTCCCCAAATGGTAGGCGGGATAACCCTTGTCCAGGATTCAGCTTTTGGAAAACGGCCACGAGGGGAAACGTGGGTTCAGTTGTGTCTTGGAAAATTCAAGTTTGCTTCGGCGGTTAATCGTCAAATGACGCCATTCTTCAAGCTTCAAGACTTGCATGATCTGCAAGGGGCAATGAAGCTTGACAAGCTCTGATGTCTAGACAGATGTTCCTCCAGATTATACAAGACGGCGATTGCGAGACTACGGGAAGCTGGGGTACTTTCTGACTTGTCGACGCAGTGATTCTGATGTTACAACTGATGATTAGGAAAAGGGCTCAAAGGTACTGCAATATGCAGTGAAACTGATGACCTTCGTCGTTAAACAATAAGTAATCACCACTACCACTAACAGGCAACTTCAGTAGACTGAACGGTCGATCTATCTCCTTTGACAGGGGAGATCGCGCCCATTTCTGTCACTTCTCGTCATTCTTGTCTTACAGTAGACCGGAGAAATTCTGTTGCTGTCTTACACTAGTTTCTGAGTATGTGAACTAGGTTCATCCCGTTGCTTATCCTTCATTCTGGCAGCGGGAGTGGCTGATTCTTCCAGAGTATGTGGCTTTCTTGAACCCTGGAGAGTATCATTACCTCGCCCAAGTCAGTTTCAACTCGGTCCAAAGTCATGATAGTCTTCAAAATAGCCTTAGCTGAACTGCAATGACGCGAGCCAAGAACCAGAGCATATGCAATGCAACCCAAGGGAGCCGACTTTGGACGCTTCCTTCGGTTACCTCGTGGTTATACGGAGGAACTCCTGCGCTTGATCTGAGTTGCTGACCCGACTCAATGACTCCAAAAGATTATAAATACTGCTCTCTTTTACGCTCAACTTGAAGGTCATCTTGAGCATCATAAACCTCAGTAACCCATTAGAAACTCATCGCCAAACAACTACCAAACATGCATCTGCAATCTTTCCTCATCGCCGCGGTATCGGTACAGGCAGTATTCGCAGCCGTGAACGAGCCATGCTACGGTTCAGGAGGCAGAGCTGGTTTGTCTCACTTCTCAGATCCCACCTACACTGTCACTGACCAGAACATCAGGTGTCTGCGTGACCACTAGCAGCTGCTCATCCAGCGGCGGCACCACGATCAACGGCGCCTGCCCCAAAGACCCGGACAACGTCAAGTGCTGCACCAAAGCATCCTGCGGCAGCGGCGGCAACTGTCGCTTCACGAGCGACTGCGCAGGCACCTCTGTCGTCAACCAGTGCCCGGGTCCCAGCACCTTTAAGTGCTGCGACTCATCTGCCTCCGGCTTCGGCGGCTACGGCGCCCCGAATACCCTGACTGTGGGCGCTTGCAAGTCGGTCGCCGTCAACGGCGCCAAGAAGATTGTTGCGGCGTTCCCGAAGAGGGTTCGGGAGATCTTTTGCACGCGGGACTGTACTTGTCCTGGAGACTCGGATCACTGCTGTGGCAAGGCGACGGATATGATGTGCTCTGACGCTGGCGGTGTAAGTGGTATTGATACGACTCTATGGGATGACACTGATCAAATGGCAGACTCCCACCACTTCCGGTAAGGAGATTGCCGAATGGGTCATGAACAATCGCGCGACACTTGACTTGAAGTATGTCATCTGGGGACAGCGTATCTGGAATCCTTCTGTGGACTCTATCAAGTCTTGGTCGGAGTGGAGGGGGATGGAGGATCGCGGCGGTGTTACCGCGAACCACTGGTGAGTCCTGATCCAAATATTCTTGAAGAATGGGATGCAAACTGACAGTTCTCCAGGGATCACGTTCATGTCAGCTACAACTAAGCATCAAGGATGAGATTCATCGGAGCAATTCTTGCTATTGGGCACGACCGCAAGGAGTAAGGGACTCAAAAATTGTAACCGTGATCAAAGAGGGCATTCTAAATCATCAGCTGTAATTATGTGACGCGGGAAGTCGACGCAAAAATCCACGTTGGCGTTGTAATGTTGACACCCACCGAATGATGTGATGCGTCTGGTGCCCATGAAGAGGAAGCCACAGCAGAAAGATTCGTCTTTGCTCAACATATCCTGGTATTTGTCCGAGTCATGTGGGTTATCCGGGTCTCGGCAATCACTGGTGAGTGATATGTGATATATGATATGCAAGAAAATGCTCAACAAGGATTGGGACACTCGCCATCGCGGGACATAACCACAGCTGTCAGCCTTCTGGTTGGGGGAGTTGAAAATGATTCAATAAGTGGTAAATTCTGGCTAATTACATTAAACATCCTCTTCAATCTTGTCTCGTAGTCAATTTCTAACTCGTGGTGCAGAGATTTACCCGATTCAAAGTGCTAAACGTTGCACCATGTTGGAAGTTCACCTGTTGGTTCCGCTGCATGCAACCTCCTCTGATACGTCCGGCGATGTCACTATTTGGGATTATGCTCCACGCTTCACGTCCGTAATCGAATGTTTACCGGAAACCTGCATGAAAGCTCGAGTCAAGGAGAGGGGTAAATGCAAGGACTTTTCGAAGACCCATGGATTTTCGTATATAGATAGTAACCCGCCCAACCGTTCGCTTGATAACCTTCAACATTCACGAGGAAACAAAATCCAGCGTTCAAGACCACGAATTATCTGACGGCATCATTGAAGAGAGAATCATGTCAGAGACGAGGGAAGACACCATTGGGATTGTCCCGGCTGCTTCTACGCAGCCAGCACTGGCACCGGCAGATAACACTGCAGACGCAAACACTGCAGACAACAACCCAGCCGTGCTTCTTGCGGAAGATGCAAGTTGACAAAACATATCAAATCTTTCTAGGGCATTATTGACATAAGTTTTCTTCCCAGGTGTCAGACGACGAGTCTGCTCGAGGAGAGGTTAGTGAAAATTCAATTCCACATTCGTCTCCACCTCCAACGATATGCCTTCTCTAACACGATAATATGTAGAGTATCGCATCGTCGAGCACCAGTGTGACTGAGTCTGTTCTTGAATATCGCATTGAAAATGGTCGAACGTATCACAAATACAAAGACGGCAGTAAGTGGACAGCCAACTGAGATCCGGTATGGGTCATTGGCACAGTATCTGAAGAGTACAGAATACCATCTTCCGAACGACGAAAGGGAGAATCAACGCCTCGGTGAGTATCTTGATCAAAAATCGTCTGGATAATTGCAGCTGATGCTTGGCAAGACGTTCAACATAACATGTGGCTGCTTACTTTCGACAATCGTCTGGGAACTGCCCCGCCGAACGATCCTAAATCTAAAGTTGGAAGAGTCCTTGATGTTGGAACCGGAACGGGGATCTGGGCCATGGAGTTTGGAGAAGAACATCCGGATGCAGAGGTCTCTTGAAACGGTCCCAGTGCATCTACGCGCACTTTACTGACCTTTCACTTGTAACAGGTTCTTGGAGTTGATTTATCGGCCATCCAACCAGAATTGTATAGTTACATAACGATGTTTCATCATTCAACGGTATCTGACTTCATCATAGCACTCCTCCGAATGTCAAGTTCCAGATTGACGACATCGAGGAACCGTGGACTTATTCTCAACCCTTTGACTATATCCACAGTCGAACCATGACCTTCAGTGTGGCTGATTGGAAAGAATATATCCAGAAATGCTACGAGTTTGTTGATGAAATCTCCATTCATATTTGAAGTTTCACTGACATGAGACCGTAGCAACCTCAGCCCCAATGGCTACCTTGAATTGAACGAAGTCGACCTATGGCCAAAGTCCGATGACGAAACATTGAAGGATGACTCTGCTGTTTTGAAGTTCGTTCGCCTTTGGGCAGAGGCTGCGGTCATGTTTGGGCGCCCATTCCAGGACATCAGAGTCTTGAAGGATATCATGATTGAGATAGGCTTCAAAGATGTTTACGCTCAGATGTTCAAGTGGCCCACGAATTCATGGCCTAAAGACCGAAAGCACAGGGAGCTCGGCTTCTGGAACCACGACAACTTCTGTGCCGGACTCGAGGGCTTCATGATGGCACCTCTTACGAGAGCTCACAACTGGACCAAAGAAGAGGTCACTGTTTTCGGGGTGCAGGTGCGCAATGATATGAGAAACAGAGACATACACGCCTATTCTGCCGTGTGAGTGCCCCATCTATACTCATAATGCTACTTTTATTGACCCCACGTAGATGGTCAATCTACGGGCGAAAGCCAGGCGACAATGAGGTCTAGAAGTAGACTCGGAAAGCTCAACATGACCATCTGAGGAGAATTTCATTGCAGTCATCTGTTTTCGCTTTCATATTTGGACTCGCTGCAGCAATCATAGTGACAGTATATGTACATAAATACACACTCGCTTGGCCTAATAATAGCCCTCAAAGGTATCCTCATGATCCTTTGCTACTTTTGCGACGGCTTGCTTGATAGGCAGGCTTCCATCACCGGGCCCCAAAATATCGAATGCGAGTCCGTGAGTCTTGCTGTTCTGGATGGACGCGTAGATCACCTTTGCAACGTCTTCGCGTGGAATGATGCCGACAGTTCCCACCTTTCCGGCTCGGATGACGCCCTCACTGGGACCTTCTCCAAGACCACCCGGCCTCACGATCGTGTAGTCGAGTCCGCGAGCCGCATTTCCGACCCTCAACTCCGTGTCGGCCGCGAGCTTAGCT